AGTCCAACAGCGATCAGGAGTACGAGAAGAGCCCCAACAAGCAAAACGCTGAAGGGTGGCATACTCTGCACATGTTCGGGTTCGTAGGCGTACTTGTTCTTGCCTCTTCTGTCCAGTCCCTTCATCATTGCAGGTTTCCTACCCCAGTGGGTTCCTGCAATGTCCTCGAAATGTTTAGTGCTGCTCTGAGCTCTGGTTGTTGTGTCGATCGTCTGTCATTTAATTAAAAGGCACACCCAGCTCACAAAGCTGGTCACGCAAGTCAAGATGGATGACGGGTAATCATTACAGGTTTGCGGTAGGCAAGGGGTTAGTGGAAAAAGCGGTCCGGTCGGAAAGAAATAACGTTAGATTTCTAGCGGTGACCGATTGATAAATAACTAGAATTCCGAGATCTCATACCTCCATGAAATATGATCTTGATATGTAAATGTAAATTTCTTCTTTAATTGTTCAAATGACCTCTGCATTAACATGATATATGCATCGTGATGTATGTTAACTTTTGATTAACTTACAGATGTCCCAAGTATGACATTCTCATCATTCACCATTACGAAATCATAGAATTTTCACATTAATGATGCAAATTAGGTCATCATTTGCATAATTAGTATCTGTTGAAGTTCCGCCTGCCATAGGTTACATAGTATAATGTAAAACACTGTAATTATAGAATTTCCTCATTAATTATGCAAATAAAGTCCTCATTTGCATAATTTGCATTTAATTATGTACATCTCTCTCTCAGCTACCTACACACCAAAAATAATGAAAATATGTTGTTCCTGTCTGGACTTATTGGCTTTTAAACATTTCGCCAGAAAGTGCCCTGCAGTTCCAGAACAAGCCGCTTGGGGGCCCAAACTCAGATGACTTCTTTCCAAGCACGAGAGCTACCTTCCATCAAAATTTCATGACCCTAGCATGTCCAGATCGCGAGATATCAAAACCGGAAGTTGCGCTGCAGTACCAAGGGAAGCCACTAGGGGGACCAAAATCTCATCATTTCCAGTTTTCGTCACACCCTACCAACACACCAAGTATGAAACCAATCCATCCAGGCGTTCTTGAGTTATCTTGTTGACCAACAGACAGACGGACGGACGGACGGAAAGATAAACGCAACTGAAACTAGAATTCCGAGATCTCATACCTCCATGAAATATGATCTTGATATGTAAATTTAAATTTCTTCTTTAATTGTTCAAATGACCTCTGCATTAACATGATATATGCATCGTGATGTATGTTAACTTTTGATTAACTTACAGATGTCCCAAGTATGACATTCTCATTATTCACCATTACGAAATCATAGAATTTTCGCATTAATCCTGCAAATTAGGTCATCATTTGCATAATTAGTATCTGTTGAAGTTCCGCCTGCCATAGGTTACATAGTATAATGTAAAACACTGTAATTATAGAATTTCCTCATTAATTATGCAAATAAAGTCCTCATTTGCATAATTTACATTTAATTCTGTACATCTCTCTCTCAGCTACCTACACACCAAAAATAATGAAAATATGTTGTTCCTGTCTGGACTTATTGGCTTTTAAACATTTCGCCAGAAAGTGCCCTGCAGCTCCAGAACAAGCCGCTAGGGGGCCCAAACTCATATGACTTCTTTCCAAGCACGAGAGCTACCTTCCATCAAAATTTCATGACCCTAGTATGTCCAGATCGCGAGATAATGTAAAACACTGTAATTATAGAATTTCCTCATTAATTATGCAAATAAAGTCCTCATTTGCATAATTTGCATTTAGTTATGTACATCTCTCTCTCAGCTACCTACACACCAAAAATAATGAAAATATGTTGTTCCTGTCTGGACTTATTGGCTTTTAAACATTTCGCCAGAAAGTGCCCTGCAGTTCCAGAACAAGCCGCTAGGGGGCCCAAACTCATATGACTTCTTCCCAAGCACGAGAGCTACCTTCCATCAAAATTTCATGACCCTAGCATGTCCAGATCGCGAGATAATGTAAAACACTGTAATTATAGAATTTCCTCATTAATTATGCAAATAAAGTCCTCATTTGCATAATTTACATTTAATTATGTACATCTCTCTCTCAGCTACCTACACACCAAAAATAATGAAAATATGTTGTTCCTGTCTGGACTTATTGGCTTTTAAACATTTCGCCAGAAAGTGCCCTGCAGTTCCAGAACAAGCCGCTAGGGGGCCCAAACTCATATGACTTCTTTCCAAGCACGAGAGCTACCTTCCATCAAAATATCATGACCCTAGCATGTCCAGATCTCGAGATAATGTAAAACACTGTAATTATAGAATTTCCTCATTAATTATGCAAATAAAGTCCTCATTTGCATAATTTGCATTTAATTATGTACATCTCTCTCTCAGCTACCTACACACCAAAAATAATGAAAATATGTTGTTCCTGTCTGGACTTATTGGCTTTTAAACATTTCGCCAGAAAGTGCCCTGCAGTTCCAGAACAAGCCGCTAGGGGGCCCAAACTCATATGACTTCTTCCCAAGCACGAGAGCTACCTTCCATCAAAATTTCATGACCCTAGCATGTCCAGATCGCGAGATATCAAAACCGGAAGTTGCGCTGCAGTACCAAGGGAAGCCACTAGGGGGACCAAAATCTCATCATTTCCAGTTTTCGTCACACCCTACCAACACACCAAGTATGAAACCAATCCATTCAGGCGTTCTTGAGTTATCTTGTTGACCAACAGACAGACGGACGGACGGACGGACGGACGGACAGATAAACGCAACTGAAAATATAACCTCCATGACACATTTCATGGAGGTAAATATAACCTCCATGACACATTTCATGGAGCTAAATATAACCTCCATGACACATTTCATGGAGGTAAATATAACCTCCATGACACATTTCATGGAGGTAATAAGGCCCACTGCACGAAAACTTTTTTTAATATTAAAAGTAGCCAATTGAAACTGGTATTGTGGCATACGTCATGCAACTAAGATTATTTTACACCCATTGTCTGTCGAATACTGGCTGCGGAGATAGATTACAACGGAAATTTTCGTAGGCCCGACCGTTGCCTAAACTTTGCGCTGGCACGGTTAACAGTATAGTTTCAACATAGTTGATTAACATGCAACTTCTTCATTTAGTTAAGAGTCCAGAATTTAAACGTGATAAATCTTAGACTTGGAGAAGGGTCTGCATGGGGGGGGGGGGCGACAACGCTTTGGTAACTCTTAACGGTAAATTGACACGTATTTTTTTCGAACTCCACTAACGAGTGATCGCTGACGAAATATATGTAACGAAGTGTGTACACTAGTGTTTCCTGCGCTCCCCCCCCCCTCCCCCCC